ATGGAATTCTCACAGGAATGGGATAAGGGTGAGATCTGGACATGGAATTCCCAGTAAAACGAGATGGAGGAGACATGTGCCCCTGGAATTCCCACTGGAAATGGATGGGGTACAATCTGCCCATGGAATTCGGATTGGAATGGGATGGGGTTGAAATCTGCCCCTGGAATTCCATGGAATGGGACAGGGGTGAGATCTGCCCATGGATTTCCCACTTGAATGGGATGGGGATGAGATCTGTTCCTGAATTCCCACTGGAATGGGATGGGGGTGAGATCTGTCCGTGGAATTCCCACTGGAATGGCATGGGGGTGAGATCTGCCTCAGGAATTCCAACTGGAATGGGATGGGGGTGAGATCTGCCCATGGAATTCCCACTAGAATTCCCATGTTCCCAAATCCTCCATTCCCAAATCCCACATTCCCACAGGAATTCTGCTCCCACCTTTGCGGTCCAGCTCCTTCTGCCCATATCCGATGTATTTCTTGAGCCATTCCTGGCATTCGTCTTCCAGGTAATTGATCCACACCTCTGCCACGTTCTCATGCTCCCAGCGCCTCCTGGTGATCTCAGCAGCGCTGTCGGCCGCCACAAATCTCCTGGATCTCAGGTCAAAGGAGATGTAATCCCGCCCATCGTAGCCATCCTGGAAGGATCCATGGATGCTCCCGTTGGACAGGAGGTCACAGCCGTAAACTCGTAACTTTGTGTGAAGACCTGCAGGGATTGTACCCACAGAGACCCATGGAATTGTATCCCAGCCCCACAGAGCCCCATTCCAACCCTATGGAGCGCCAGAGTCTGATGGAGACCCACAGAGCCTCATCCCAGCCCCATAGAGCCCCATCCCAACCCATGGATCCCAACCTAACCCCACAGATCCCAGCCCAACCCCATGGATCCATGTCCCCATTCACACCCATGGATCACAAGATATCCCATACCTGCCTAATGGATCCCCATCTCAGCCCCTTTGGTGACCTGTGAATTCACATTCAAGCCCTATGGATCCACACCCCAGCCCCACAGATCCCATCTCAGTCCCTTGGATCCCCATCCCAACCCACAGATCCCATCCCAGCCCCATGGATCCCACCTCAGCCCCAAGGATCCCCATCCCATCCCAACCCATAGATCTATCCCAGCCCCATAAATCCCAGGCCCACAGTTCCCACCCCAGCCACACATATCCCATCCCAGCCCCACTGATCCCCCCACTCACCCCTGCTCTGGTTGTACCGGCTCCTTGCTGTCTCCAGGTCCC